GGCTGTGGAAGCTGGAAATTTTGCGCGCAGGAGAGCTCATGAGTCGATGGAATGGGGACACGGTGGTAAGAACGATGACACTCGTGGACAATTGGGGTCTGTGGGGCTGAGTGACATGCGGCCCGCCCAGTGTGGAGGCCGTTGTGTTCTACGGATACGTCACTTACAGCTCATCCAATGTCTGGCTTGGGAGGGCAGCTAGCTGTATGCTTAAGTCGAGTGCATCTCTTGGACGACACTCTCCAACTAGACATCTCTGGTCTTTAATTTTCGACAAAGTCTTCAATATGGCCCCGAACGTGGACCCGGCTGTTATTGAAGCTATGCAGCTCGACCCGGAGCAGACCAAAATCGCGTCGCACGGGGGGTCTGGGTTTGCCTCCTCTTTCAAGCTCACATCCGTCGTTGATGGTCAGCCCACTAAATTCTTCGTCAAGACTGGCAGTGGTAAGGAGGCGGAGGTCATGTTCACCGGTGAGTTTGACTCACTCTCGGAGTCGTTCCGTTTGGTTTATGTCGACACGTCTCCTGACACATGGCAGGTGAGCATGAGTCGCTGAACGCCATTCACGATGCCGTCCCCAACTTCTGCCCCAAGTCACATGCGCACGGGAAGTATCAGTCCTCACCTGGCACGCACTTTATGGTCACGGATTTCCTGGACCTTGGTTCTTCGGCTTCGGGCGGTTCTGGGCTGTCTCTGGCCGCAAAGCTGGCCAAGATGCACACAACCCCCGCGCCAATCCCAGAGGGCTATGATAAGCCAATGTACGGCTTCCCCGTAACCACATGTTGCGGTTCCACGCCCCAAGACAACTCGTGGAAAGAGTCATGGGCCGAGTTCTATGCTGAGAACCGACTGCGAAGCATTCTGCGCGCTGGCATCCAGAATAATGGCACGGACGGGGAGCTGTCCAAAGCCGTGGAGACGGTAGCGAGCAGGGTCGTCCCGCGGCTGATCGGCGACAACCACGTGAAAGGGATGAAGCCGGTGTTAATCCACGGCGATCTTTGGAGTGGAAACCATAGCCGGGGGCAGATTGCCGGCAAGGGCGGTGCGGAAGAGGTTGTCTACGATTCGTCGGCTGTGTACGGCCACTCTGAGTATGAGCTTGGCATCATGAGGATGTTTGGCGGATTCGGAAGCAGCTTCTGGAACGAGTACAACAAGCTGGTTCCAAAGGCGGAGCCAAAAGATGAATGGGATGATAGAGTTGCGTTGTACGAGCTGTAAGTGTCTTTCCCTTTGCGTTGCCTGGTCAACTATCCGTCTGACAGTAGTTACTTGCAGATATCACCATCTCAACCATTATGCCATGTTTGGCGGAGGCTATCGGAGCGGGGCAATGGGTATCATGAAGAAGCTGATTTCGAAATACGGCTGACGGCCCATATGTAATTACTTTGCCGCAGGATCAAAATCGAAGGGTTGTTGAGCTGAATTGAAGGACCATTCCACATTAAAACCGGCCCGCGCCGCCGTTGAGAGCCTAGGATGTTCGCTAGCGGACACCAAGCCTAGTTCCAGGGACGCAAAGCGCATCTTGATGAATCGTCGAGATAGTACTGTTGCTGCAATCCTCGGGCCATGCTCCGGCCAAACGTCTTTTTTGACAACCGATCGACCTGTCAAACAATGGTGAGTAAACGTCTGTGGTGTCGTCATGCCGTCTGATGTTTTTGGGTGATTTTCCCGCAGCGATAGGGGGAGCTAGGATTCACATGCCAGGGGTTGCCCTGAGACCGAGCCTAATTTGGCTTCTGGTTGGGGCATTTTGGGGGAAAGGCTCACGGACCATGTATTCATCCGGCGCATTCACACTGCTGGGAAAGCAAGATTAACTAACCTGTGGACGGCCCATAGCCCATGGCCAGCCCATGGCAGGGGAATTTGATCACAAGGGTTGATCTGGTCACTTCCCATTTCCGTTGCCAACACCGATAGCCACCTGGACCTTTCGCCCCTTGCTGCAATTCTGCACCCACGACGCCTGGCTTTTTTTCTATTTTTATTTGGGAGGAACGACAATGTCCATATAGAACACACACGCACGCTCTTCGTCGCTCCCTTTTAGATTTTTGCCTCATACGTTGCCGCAACCATGAACGGCCACTTCGCTGCTGTCGGCGATGAGCCGGACGCTCAAAATTACGAGCATGGCATCCAAGTCATTGACGACCAGAAAGACTTCAAGTACGATTTCCAGCCTCCGCTCCTGCGAGAACATCCCGAACAGCAGCTAACCTCTGCACTTGCAGTGTCGCGGTCAACAAATACCTCCAAAAAGTCCACGTCGCCGAGGCGGGGTTCAACTACCACCTCATCTCCGTCTTCGGCTCTCAGTCCACCGGAAAGTCGACGCTGTTGAACAACCTCTTTGGTACCGACTTCTCCGTCATGTCCGAGACGATGCGCCAGCAAACCACCAAGGGTATCTGGATGTCCAAGAACAAGAAGGAGTCATCCGGCATGGCCGAGAACATCCTTGTGATGGACGTGGAGGGAACCGACGGTCGCGAGCGTGGCGAGGACCAGGATTTCGAGAGGAAGAGCGCCCTGTTCGCCTTGGCTACGAGTGAGGTCCTCATCGTGAACCTCTGGGAGACCCAAGTCGGTTTGTATAACGGTGCGAATATGGGTCTGCTGAAGACCGTCTTCGAGGTCAACCTGCAGCTCTTCCTCAAGGACAAGCAGTAAGTAGATTGCGTGGTGCTTTTAGACCGCCACTTGCTGACACGCCACTACAGGTCGAGTCTCAGATCCCTGCTCTTCTTCGTCATTCGAGACCACCTCGGCACGACCCCTCTCGCGAACCTGCGCAACACCCTGATCCAGGACCTGACCAAGATTTGGACATCCATTTCCAAGCCCCAGGGTCTTGAGAACTCCCGCATCGAGGATTACTTTGACTTCGCCTTCGCCGCCCTCCCCCACAAGATTCTCCAGGCCGATAAGTTCACGACTGAGATTCAGAACCTGGGGAAGAGGTTCGTTGCGGGGCACCGATCGGGTGGATCCACAAGTCAGGAGTTCGAAGGCGGTGTGTTCCTGCCCGAGTACCACCGCCGCATTCCCGCCGACGGATTCTCGATTTACGCCGAGGGTATCTGGGACCAGATTGTCAACAACAAGGACTTGGATTTGCCAACACAGCAAGAGCTTCTTGCTCAGTTCCGCTGCGACGAAATCTCCCGAGAGGTTCTGATTGGTTTTGACAATGCTGTTGTGCCATTGGAGGAGAAGCAGGCCGAGTCTACGAGGCTTGGAAAGCCCGCCGTGTTGGCAGAGCTTGGTGTCACTGGCCGTGAGTCCCGCGAGAAGTGCCTGAAGGCATTCGAGATCCAAGCCAGCCGGTACCACAAGGGCGTCTACACGCGCAAGCGCCAGGACTTGGAGGGCAAGATTGATGCCAGGCTTAAGACGCTTTACAACGCGCAGCTGACCGCTGCACACAAGTCGGGTATTGCTTCGTTCAGTGATGCTGTGTCGGGTGCTGTCAAGGCTGGCCAGAAGTCCGGTGCCGCCTACGAGTTCGCCGAGATCGTCACCGAGGAGAAGAAGAAGACCCTCGAGTTCTTCCAGACCGAAGCCGAAAGTCTCGCCATTCCGGGTGTTGCTTGGTCTAACTTCAAGTCGCAATACGTGTTGTTCGAGAAGGAGCTTGATGATGTGAGCGGCAAGCTGCGCAAGGAGGAGATGCGCAGGTTGGCCACGAGGGTTGAGAGATGGGTCAAGTCCCGATTGGGCGACGCCATTGGGCTGGAGTTCAACAAGTTGGGCTCTGGTAGGGCTGGTTCTGGCGCCCCTGAGACTGGCGAAAAGCCGACCGAGAAGGATCTTTGGGATCGTATCTGGACCGTGTTCGTTGATATTGTCAAGGATGCCCAGGGCAGGTTTACTGAGCGTGCCAAGAGTTTTGAGGCTACGCAAGAGGAGGTTGACATTGGCCTCTGGCGCCTGAGGCGCAAGAGTTGGGTGGCCCTGCGTGAGAAGATTGAGGAGGAAGTAATGGAGGGCAATATCCTGTTGAAGTTGAGGGAAAACTTTGAGGACAAGTTCAGATACGACGAGGCCGGTGTCCCTCGGATCTGGCGACCTACAGACGACATCGAGGGCATTTACACTAAGGCGCGAGAGTCTACGTTGACTCTCATCCCTCTGTTGTCGAAGTTCAAGTTGTCAGAATCTCTCAGCTCCCCGGACCTGCCCGCCTGGATTGGTGGACAGCCTCGTGGCGTTGAAGCTAGCGACGAGGAGGACCTGACTCCGATTGGTGGTGTTGACGAAGAGGACGGCAAGAGTCTTGAGGAGGAGATGACGGTGCTTAGCGAGAGTAAGCGCCAAGACCTTGTCATCCGCTTCAAGAAGACGGCAGACGGCGTCTACGTCGAGGCCAAGCGCAGCGCCATTGGCGGTGTCGCTCAAGTACCTCTGTACTTCTATGCCCTCCTCGTTGCTCTGGGATGGAACGAAATCGTTGCTGGTAAGTGGCTTGAGACAGCTTTTTCATTGACAACGCTAACGCAAGATAGTCCTGCGTAACCCGTTCCTTTTCATTTTCCTCATCTTGTTGGCAGGAGGCACTTATGTCGCCTACACGCTGAACATGCTGGGCCCCATGTACCAGATGGCCAATGCAGCGGCCAACCAGGGTGTTGAGATTGGCAAGCAGAAGTTGAGAGAGTTCATCGAGAACTCAGACACTGCGCGACAGGCGCTGGCCATGCCTTCCCGGGCCGACAGCTCCATCAGTATGGACACTTTGGACAGTCGGGGCAAGAAGAAGAGCTCGGAGGATGATATTGATGACATCTAGATTTTACGCATGAAGCGGGAATGAAGCTGCGGTCCAGACGCCGGCCACCACAAAGAGTGCGAATAGGAGCAAAGGATATAATGTCTATAAGATACGTTGTAGTATCCTGTCAAATTTCCCGTGGTGATCCCAGATGATATACAAACGCCCAACGCCTCTTACCCGACCTTTGTTACACTGATCTTAGAAAGCCTCAAGGCCTGCTGGTCTTCCAAACCATGTACCCAACTCATCGCCATCCTCTGCGTCTGTCGACCGGAAGAAGTCCGTCATGCGAGCCTCACCGTCATCGTCGACTGGCCATTCAACCTTCAAGCTCCCCTTGGCCTCAAGCATGCCCTTGGCTGTTCCCCAGCTGAATCTGCACTCGGGGCCCCAGCCGAAGACAGGGTGCATGTTGCCCCTCATCCAAGTCACACATCTCTGGTCAGACGGGTAGCCTGAGCCCCAGGCCATGCCCTCCTCCGCCTCGGCCGCCTCAGGCGCACGCGCGCGGTACAGAACCTCAAGCGCAGCATCACGGGTGACCTTGGCAGCGACTGAGGCAGCCGAGACGCAGGGGTACAGACTATCTGCCTTCTTTGCGACGGTGATCTTCGTCGCCGGGAAGAAGCGCTGCAGCTTAGCCTGGTAGGCAGCAGGCTGGCCGACGGTGTCGACGTAGATCTCGGCGACGTTGACGCCGCGGGCGAAGACGCCTTTGATGAGGTCGACGGTGGCGTCCATGGCCTGGGCGTTGAGGTTGTACGTCGCGCCGGGGCGGAGCATGCCCGTGGAGATGTCGCGGGCGGAGAGGGAGCGGATGGCGAAGCCGCAGGAGTCGAAGAGGTCTGATCCTGGCGTGCAGAGAGCCTCCATCAGCTGGGAGCGGACGGCGGGGGTGAGGACCTTTGAATCGTCGAAGTGGTGGGTTTCGCGGAGGAGGGGGTCCGAGAGGGGAATCGGGAGGAAGAAGACGCCGTAGACCATGGGGCCGAGGACAGGGCCGCGGCCTGCTTCGTCTACGCCGAGACAGACTGGGGTGCCGAGCGCCGGTGTTTCTGAGTCTGTGGATTCTGATGACGGGAGGAGTGATGGCGGAATGGGGGAGAAGTAGGAGTAGCTGTCACCTGCGAGGAGGGCCTTATCGTCAATGGAGGGTGGGATAAAGACATCTGAGACTGGGGTCTCCATGGCGATGTCCTCGACCGTTTGAGTGTCTTCCATGGTGAGAATTGCTGAGGACTGGTGTCCCAAAGAGAAATCTGGATGTATCCCGTTTGACGTCGTAAGTTGGTTGTAAGTCCTCGTTTGTCTACGACAGTCCCTGGTGTCGTCCGGATATCTTGCTGCAAGCCCAATTTCCCAAATCCTACTATGAAAACGTCCCGTAGTGAGAACAATGCGACAGTGATGAGAAAGTGACGATCAAAAGGTGAGTAATTGACGAAGTGACTTGAAGACTGAAAGTAATGGGTGGCAGGTTCGGCCCCTCGACGCGTCCCGGTAAATTGAGACGCGTCCATCCCGGTGGATCCTGCCGCACACGTGCCCCCGTTGACTCCTGGATTGCAGCGGGTATCAGCCACTGACAGGCCCGGAAGCACCGCTAACAGCAAAGAGCAAGCACCACACCGCGCGACGCCAACTCACGGTGCTTCTTCCCACCGCCCAAAAAGTTGCGCGCTCAACACCACAAACCACCACACCTGCTCGGGGTAAACAAATACGACGCACCTGGCTTGGTATCTTTGCTCAGCTTCGCCCGCACTCCTCAGGCCCCAGCTCCTCAGCTGCGATCATTTTCATCTAATTTTTGCGGGATTTCCATCGGAATTCCCAAAGACTCCACAGTCGCGATGGCACCGCGACCGAGCAATGTTAGGCGTCGCGAGACGTCCACAGGCGATTTCCATGAGCTCGGTGTCAAGGGCCGGTACGTCGCGCGCAGATGTCTTCTTCTTTCTGGATAGAAGGTGCGACTCGGTAGTTTTGAGCATTTACTTACGCCCTTGCAGAAAGACTGGCATTGAGTTGCCCGACACTGGCGTACGCGACGAACATGGCATGCAACCTATCGACGGTCTCTTCTCCTCGCCGGAGAAAGACAACGGATCTCCCGACGAATCGACGGGCGAGCAAGATATGGAGCTCGACTCTGGTGAGTTTGCTGTGCTGGCGGCCTTGACGCGCGCATCCTGACGAAGCCTTGTAGACACCGGCGCCGGACCAGCCACGATTCTCAAGGGGCATCCGCGACTCATCCCTCGAGGAACCTCCCCGCGGAAGACGAACCTCGCTTCTCCCGCAGTGCGACACCCTAACTTTGGTGTCTCGTCATCACCGATTCGAGGATCTCCTTACCGAGGATCTCCTACCGCGCAATCGCATTCACAGCCTGTCCGTGGGGCATCTGTTTCTCGCCGTCTCGACTACGGCGCGAATGGTGTAAACGGAAAGCACACGAACGGAACAAACGGACGCGCCCTCTCCACCGAACCGGAGGAAGACGACGGAGCGCCTATGGACGAAATCATCGAGGAGTCTCTGCAAATGATTGGTGAGGTGGAAGTCCCGGAGGATGAGCCGAACGATGTCACTGAGGAGGTGGAGGAAGAAGCGCCAAAGCAGCCGGCCAAGCGTAAAGGACGCCCACCCAAGGCCAAGGCGCCAGTTGTCGAGGAGCCAGAGGAAGAGCCGGAGAATGCTGCCGAGTCAGAGGAGGAGCCAGTTGCCCCGAAGGGCAGAAGAGGCCGTCCAGCTAAAGGCAAGGGAAAGGCCAAGGCCGACGAGCCCGAACCTGAGCAGGAACCCGAGCAGGAGGTCAGCGCTCCCAAGCGCAGACGCTCGCGGAATTCGAACGGCAACGAGGAGGAGCAGGTGGAGGCGGACGATCGCGCTTCCAAAAGGCAACGTACGGAAACTGCAGCAGCGGCAGCGGCAGCGAAACCTGGCAAGCGTGGGCAGCCCAAGGCCGTTCCTCAAGAGGAGAAGGGCGAGTCGAGCAAAGATGCTGCGAAGGCTGATCCGAAGCCCAAGCCCAAGGGCAGGCCGGGCCGAAAGCCCCAGACGGAAGCGGCCGCTGGAGACGATTCAATTGTTGGTCTGGTCCAAAAGGGGCCGCCCATGCCCAAGGCCCGTGGCTTGGTCTCACGCAAAGTGCCACAAGATCCCCATGCCATCACAAAAACAAGATCCGGTCGCCAATCCTACCGGCCATTGGCGTACTGGAAGAACGAGCACGTCGAGTACGATGAAGAAGAGGCTTTTGAGGCCGGCAAGGACAGGTTCTTACTTCCCAGCATTAAGGAGGTTGTCCGTGTCGAGGAGGAAGAAAAGGAGGCGCGCAAGAGAAGGGCGAAGAGCCGGAAAGCTGCAGGAAAAGGAGGCAGAAGGAAGCAGGCCGAATCCGAGGACGAAGAGGAGCCGGAACCGTGGGAGGTAGACCCGGGCAACATCGAAGGCGAAATTGTTGTCTGGCAGCCCGAGCACGAGTTCAATCCTCCCGCCATCAACGAACAAGTCGAGATCGACGAGGACCGCATTGCTGTTTCTGCTGGCGCCATTCAAACACGCGACATCCGCGACGCTACCTTCCGATTCGCAAAGACGCTTAGCTTGCCTTTCTTCGGTTCGGGCGTCGTCGACCTTCCGCCCGGCGCGGAGAAGCGGCCTAAGAACTCGCGAAAGATGCAGATGGTATTTTTTGTCTTCCAGGGCAAGGTCCTGGTTACCGTCCACGAGACGCAGTTCAGAATTGGTGCCGGTGGAATGTGGTTTGTGCCCAGAGGTAAGCCCGCCTTTCTGGAATCCTGCTCCGAGTGCCACTGCTAACTATGATTTCAGGCAACTACTACAGCATTCACAATGATTATGAGCAACCAGCGCGTATCTTCTTCGCCCAGGGCTGCGAAGTCAACAGCAGCGCGATGGCTGGGACACCAGGCACTTCTCAGGACACGACCATTATGGGTTGAGTCTGACGTCCTGAGCGGGTGCTCATGTTTTCCTATTCGAAATGACTTTTGCGAGCTGGGCGGATGTTTGCATATCAACGGAAGGTTCCATTTAGCCTTTATACCCTTCGATGGCTCATTGGATTCCGATTGTTGCGGTGTTGTTTCTTTTTTCGTGCACCTGTAGGATTGAGACGAAAAGCTGAAAAGCGGCCACCTGATGAGGAGGCATGTCGTGATATGAGCGTATTGGGCTTTCATGTTTGGGTTTTACGAGGTGTAGCGGTTCTATGGCACGAGATAGGGCTTGGGTTGTCATAATCATACATACATTTCGCGCTCCTCATTTACGTGTCTACTTTTTGTGATGGGATGCATGATTGTTTTTGTGGTCCCTTCAAGCCAGAGTTGAGGCATCGTTTGCCGTCACGAATCACCCGTCACTGCGGTGTCATTTGTGATAGGGGTCATATACGATACCCAACCTCTCAGCCAACCTTTAAGGCAGAACTAGATCTTTCGGCTACTGGATACACACCTCCATCTACTGTGTGTCGTCGTCTCTGTCGTCTCTGTCGTCTCTGTCGTCTCTGTCGTCTCTGTCGTCTCTGTCGTCTCTGTCGTCTCTGTCGTCTCTGTCGTCTCTGTCGTCTCTGTCGTCTCTGTCGTCTCTGTCGTCTCGGTAGCTGTTTGTTGTTATCTCTACTAGATTCATCGATTCTATTCTCCTAATTTTTGCATACTATCGCCTCCGTCGTACTGTACTACAGCCTCCTGGGTAATATGATCATTCAGAAGGTGGTCATTCAAGACGAGACCCATTTTGAAAGCGGACGAAGAGCATCCTGACCAGATTTCATCGCCTCCTTCGATGTGGTGGCGGATTTCTTGTGTTCTTCCCGCGCTGCTGAGGCAAGATTCTGCGCAGGTAATCTCTCCGTTTGGCATCCAGCGCCGGAGCGGGCCCCACTCCGGGGCGTCCGCAATCCCGCACCGGAAAAAAATCTTGCAGCACGGACCAAGGACAAGCCCACCCTGTTTCGCCCCTGTATTAGGTAATCCGCATCTGCGAGTGCTGCGTAAGGCTGCTGGGCACGCAACAGCAAGGTGCCCTGCACTCTCAGATCGTTGCCTGGCGGTCGCTGGGCGGACACATGCAAGGAGATGAGAGGGGGAGGGGAAAGAAAAAAAAAGTTGCCCGCCTGCCCGGCAACAAAGAGAATGCAATTTCATCGCACCGCATGCAGCCAGCCATTGAGGTCAAAATGGAAAATTTCCAACACCGATGATGGTTGCTATGAGTAGATGGATTGTGCGACGTGGATGGACATGGGTTTTCGTGATCTCGCGGGTGCTCATTTACGATCTGTTTGCGAGGCGCAATTCCAAGGTTCCAAGGCAGAGCGGCCCCTATCTAAAATCTCGATTCTCACATTGAGGGCGTTTGTGGAAGGCGCCAGCCACACCTGCCTGGACTGGCCGCTGCCTGTCTCGGATTGCCTTGCACGCCTGGCCTGACCTTGCGGTCCATTTCCTCCGTTGTCTCTCTGCCATGTCAGCCCCTTGGGCGCCAACTGTTCTATGTTGGCATCCCTGCCACCTCTTTTTTTCGGTCGACTGTTGTCGCCGTCGACTTGGGTCGCCAAGGTGGGCGGCTACGTGGTCCTGGAGTCCCAGAGAATTTGCGATGGATAAGCGGAAAGAGCTGGAAACTGTCAGTTGGGCTCTGCAACAGGTCGTCTACGGAGTTTCGATGCTTCTTGAAGAGTCGCAGAACCACTCAATCAACCCCCCACTGACGGGGGATGATATCACTCTCCAAAAGGTTTCCATCAGTTACTAGCGGTGTGGATTCGACCTGACTGAGGGGCACGACTTGGAGGGGAAAGGTAGAGGGTACCGTGGTTTAATGCGGGCATGGGGCGGCAGCAGGGGTACTGGGGACCTGAGGGGTAGGATTGTAGAAGCTTCTTGTGGATATGATGTCAACGAATGGGGTTCAAACGAAAGTCTTCCATAGAATTGTCCGTCTTCCAGAGGCACCGTGAGAGCAGGAAAGAGCGTGCAAACCTTGGAAAATTGGGACTTTCGCCTCCTGAAGAGGCTGAATCGGGTTGCAAGCGCACTAAAAAAGATCCTTGTAGAAAATTTCAGCGGTTTCTGGAGGCAATTGGAAGGGACTGGCGCAGTCTGGCAGGGCCGCGAAGCTGGTGGACGCTTGGATCTACCCCACCATTGGAGAGCAGGTGGAAGAGCGAAGAACCCTTTCGA